GCACCTTCCGTCACGCCCCTGCCCAAGGCCCTTCACTGGCTCTCACCATGATCTGCACCACCCTGGACCCTTCAGTTCTGTCTCCTCCCTGTCATCCGTCCTCCGCCCGAACCTCCTCCAGCTTCCTCTGCCTACGTTGCCTACCCTTGGCCATCCCTTCACCATCCCTTCGCCATCTCCTGGCTCCTTGCCTGCGGCTCTGCTCGCCCACTTTCTAGACCCCCTCCATCCCTCCCTCTATTCTTCTCTTACGGCGCGAGGTCGCACCTACCGAGAGGGGGCGTTATGTCACAGTTTCACTCCTCACATGTGTTTCCCTGTCTGTGTTTCCCGCCACTGATCAGTCACCATGGACACCAATCACCTTCATCACAGCTGTTAGTCATTTGTTAATTATCTCTGTGTATTTAGTTCCTGCTTGTGCTCTGTCTGTGGTCCGGTGTTGTTTGTATCACTCGTATGTGTGCGTGTTCCTGTCTTCTTCTGGAATATACTGCTATTATTTGGATTTGCTTGCCTTCGTGAACTCTTTTGAACTTGCCTCACGCAGCATCGTGACAATATTTATATTGGCAGTGACAAATGTGTTTCACAAAATTTGCTGCTTTAGTATTTGTAAATGATATTTTTCATGTTTCTATGGGAGTGGTTCTCAAACTTTTTTGGTCATTCCCCACTCTGGACACCTGCCCCACCTCCCCCCATCGCCCAACACAATGCTAATGAAATACGCAACAAGCTTAACATGTTACAAAGAGTATCAGTATGGTAACAAGCTGCATCTAAATCCAAACTATCTACATCAAATAACAGCAAGTTAAAGAATAATTAAATAAAAGTGCAGCTGTGTCATTACTTGCATGAAATTCAAAAATAGAAAAGAAATAAAAGTGCCACTTTGCAATCTGTTAAAAAAAGAAAAGAAGAGAAATCCATTTGGCACGACAGGTCTATTTATCCCTGCATTAGTGGCTGCAGTGAGCCTGTTTTGCATTGCACAGTTTCTCAAAGCAGGTTTGCAGGCTTGATACTGCCACTCTCAAGTCATGCTCAATGTTCAGCTGAGATCTGTACTTAGTTTTCAGTGAAGCAACAGCTGGAAAGCCCATCTCACAGAGATATGATGTGGCAAAGGGAAGAAGAATGCACACAGCTCTCTGCTACTCCCTCGCCACTCCAAACCAGAATTCACTAATGCCCCGTTTACACGAAGGGAAGACGCAGATATCTCCCTGCGGTTTGGCCTCTCATTTACACGAAAACCCCGTTTTTATCACAGAAAACGATTCTTTCTAACAACTCCGGCCAAAGTGGTGATTTCTGATAACGCCGGTTATAACTGGGAGAGACGGGGTTTTAGGTTCTCAAACGTCACATTATGCGCCAGAAAATGCTGAGCGTCATGTGAGCGCCCAGTTTGGCAGAGTTATGATGGCGCTCGACGGCGTATTTATGCGGGTTGATGTAAATGACAACTTTTTTTGAAAACGATGTTGTGTGCACGATGTTATTATTGAAAGCGGAGGGGGGGGGGGGAATATTCGTTTCTCTTAATACCCGGCCTTGTGAGAATGTGGCCTAAGAGTCTGAGCTTTAAAGCTGAGCCTCAGGTGTGGAGTCAGATGTCATCTCAATAAACGGGTCCTCCTCAGCACACCTAAAATCAGCAGGTGCACCAGACAGAAATATAAATACTTTATTTGTCATTGCATAATAAACACAACGAAATCTGTTTGACAACAATCCATTCCAGTTAGTAAGTAGCATACAACATAAATAAGATGCATATATGAGTATAATATTCAATAAAATGTCAAAATACCAACCTGCTGCTTTGAATGGATGCATAACCCAGGCATACTGAGCACTGTTGTTCGGGAAGTATTGTTGAAGCAATCCTCCAGGGAAGAGATGTGCTGCTTGATACATGGGATCACTGTGGTGGCTCCAGGATCAGTGGTTTCAGCAACTTCACTCAGGTTCTCAAAGACGTCTCTGTTTTGCTGATCGAGCGCCTGCCCCATACCTCAAGCTTTCGGGAGAATGCAGTGATCTCGTCTGCCAGGTGAGGGAGGTGCTTGTCTTTGCCTTGAAGCTGAAGATTTAATTCATTCAGCTAGCCAAACACATCGCTGAGGTAGGCCAGTTTAAAGAAAATAAATCAAGTGGCTTATTGACGTGACTGGGGTGTGTTCTCTAGGTGTCTTCTTAATGTGTTGGGTCTCATACTGTCTGCTGCTAGCGGTTGAAGACAGAACACACATCGGTCTCTCCTCTGCCCCCCCCACCGCCGCCGTGAATCCAAGAGCAAGATACCCGTCATCATATTTTCTTTTCGGTTGGCTTTTTGGTTGATTAGGCCTGTCTGGTTTGTGTCTCTCTGCTGGCGCTGGCTCGACAACTTTTAAAATCCGTGTCACAAATTGATCCATGTTGTGTTATTGTTCACACTAGCCTGCTACCCACAGTAGCGCCCGTCATAGCATCAGCACCCCCTGACTAGTAGTTGTTCATTTAAGCCATTAGTGGACGAATCGCCCCTTTATATTGATTTAATTACTTAAATAGGCTAGACAGGATAATGAGCGTTATAAAGCCGCCCTCAAGCGCACGACCGCACGCATAAAGCTTCCCACAAAGAACTGGCAAAAGTAATGATTATTAATGTGTAAAAAATAGCAAGGAAACATTCAATTGTTAATTAATAAACTGGTGTTTTCTGTGTCGCTGCAAAGATGAAGTTGACGATGAAGACTCGCCATGAACGAATAAAGATATAAAGGCATAAAAAGGGGAATGTCCCCCGTTTGGCGCGCCTCTATCCCCGGCCACGTCTCTATCCCCCACCAGTGGGGCGCCCCACACTTTGAGAGCTGCTGGTGTAACTGAACAGCGCACATATTTTCAACGCTAAAATTATGTTCTAAATTATGAATGAGTGAAGCGCTTTGGAGAACGGTCTGAATCCACTCGCATTCGCTTGGACTGCTCTCTCACTCTCCCAGCGCTGGTTTTCAGTCGTTTTCCTCTGGGAACATGTGGTAATTGGATGTCTAGGGTTGGGCATCGTTGAATTTTAACAATTCCGAATCCGATTCTACTTATCGATTCCTAATTTAGATTCCAATAAGGTAAAAAAAACAAAAAAAAACTTTAGATATCAGTCACATTTAGTCTTGGAACATTTAGTTGTAGCTGAATATCATGAATAAAACAGGCTAAAGAACAGTTACACTAGGAACATTTGACTGTGGTTTAAAATACCATAGAAAAGCAACTAACCTAACTTATACTAAAACTAACTTCAAGCATTATTAAAGACAAGTAAACACACACACAACAAATGAAAAATAAGCAATTGCAACAAATAGATGATAGATTGAAATAAGTGTTTTATGATTTTCAGGTATTCAGGTACAGAAAGTGTAATCAAATGATTTCTAACGGTTCGATTCTCTCTCAAGTCTGCTTCTGATGATCCTCGATATCAAGAACACATCCGGGCGCTTTCATGCACACTCTGTACTTGGCGTTCAGTATTGGAATTAAACTTTGACAGTTGATGATGACGTAATAAAACACAAGCAAAAGAGTATGTAGCACAACTAATATGTGAGATTCTGCCTAAATAAAAGACAAAACGAAGTATAATAAAGTTTATCATAAACTGACATTTTATTGTTATAAAATAAATAAGGTTTATCAATCAAATTAAACCTTTATCAAGACAAAAGACCTCTCAAATATGTATGAATTGTACTTACTGTTTTTAAAGAAAAACTTTTTTTTATCTCATAGTATTGACGCTTCAATAAATTTTCATTGACACTTTATTTATTGCTGACTTTATGAAATCATTGTAAATGCTTAACAGGATGGAGATCTGTCACAGACAAAGATAAAGATGTGTATTATAGAACACCAGAAAAGACAAACACAGGGAACCACAACGACCAGGTGACATGCAGAATAATTAATTTTGTGTCAATACTTTATTAGCATTAACATTAACCATTACATTTTTATTAATTTATTATTATTTATTTTTTTTTTTTTGTTATTTTCTACTGATTATTGTGGAAGATATATGCATTTTTAATGCTCACACATATGAACTGTGATTTAAGAACTCATTCAGTCTTTTTAACAATTAGTAATTCTTAATCTTTTTCATCACATAATATATATTTAACCATGAATTTCCATGACATATATTATATATTTCTATGGATATTGGACAGCAGATTGAACAGGACTTTTATTTTGGTATGGCGGTATGACATCATAAAGCTGCGCCGTGCTCTTGCAACTGTTATGATTAGGCTGAAGAAAGGTTTGTGGGTTTTGCATTTAAACTGTTTAAATCGATACACATCGATTTGGTCGTTTTTTTACCAGAGACCATGTATTATTTAACATATCTTAGTAAAATAATATGTATAGTATGCTTAATGTAACAATATTCATTTTTTTGTGAGTAAAGCATATTCACATGCAAGTAACAGAAAAGTCGCGTCTCATTTCGCACACTATATCGTGTATCAGTTTATCGTAAACACGAATTCGGGTTTTGGAAAGTGGTGATGGAGAAATGGAGTCAATTGAATCTAATGCTTTGCCAAATGATTCACTGATTCAAAGCGCTTGAATCACCGCGCGATGACGAATCCTGCCGCTCAAAACAGTGTAAAAATAAGACGAAAACAAAAATATTATTATTATGTTTGAACGACAACGTAATCTGTTAAATGTACAAATTATTAAATATGAAGTGTCTGTATAATTTGTTATTTTATTATTTTGTAGTGCTTGTTTTGATTGATTTTTGGCTAATAAGTCGATTTAAATCCATGAACTCTCTCTCTGACTGACTCCCTCACCAGTGCACTGAACTACTGAACTACAGCTTATTGAGACACACACAGAGATTTACTGTGGATTTATTTTTCTTTCTGTTAATTATTCTCATCTTAAACATGACAAATTGTCCAAACACACAGGAAAACTCCAGGAGAAACATCTGAGATCCACGTGACACTATTATAAAGATGGCGTTGATTAAACAGGAGAGTGAAGACATAAAGATTGAAGAAGTGTTCAGCGTGAAACATGAAGATACTGAGGAACAAACAGGTTAGTTTCATTCAGTCCTTATTAAAATGATCTACAGAAATGAAGTTAAACATTCTGACCAGCACGTAACTTAGTTCAAGTTCACTTGTGCATTCGCGTCATTTTGTGCAGTGCAGATATAAGTTGTAATGTTATGTTTATTTGGTAAATATCTGATTAATCTCATAAGATGCATTTCATGAGTTTATTAACCTGTTAATAAAGCGCTTCAGTTTCCCGGTGTGCATTCAGCGCTTTAGCGCAACTCAAACAGGAATGATGCTATTTGAAACCGTAATATATAATGTTAGATGTTTCTTTTTCAAAAACAAAAAACATTGATGCATTATTAATAATAATTAACACTTTTTTCTTGTATTATTTTCCTAAACTATATGGTGGTTTAATTCAAATTAGTCATTATTGTCGGAGGCTATTCCATTTTATTTATCCATGACAAATCCATTTTTATTATTTATATTTGTGTGGTCCATTTATTTGTTTGCATTATTTAGCCATTATTTTATTTATTTGTAAGGAAATAGATTTAATTTTTTTATAAAGACTTTTGGCCATTGGAGTTTAATATATATATATATATATATATATATACACTCACCGGCCACTTTATTAGGTACCCCATGCTAGTAACGGGTTGGACCCCCTTTTGCCTTCAGAACTGCCTCAATTCTTCGTGGCATAGATTCAACAAGGTGCTGGAAGCATTCCTCAGGGAGTTTGGTCCATATTGACATGATGGCATCACACAGTTGCCGCAGATTTGTCGGCTGCACATCCATGATGCGAATCTCCCGTTCCACCACATCCCAAAGATGCTCTATTGGGTTGAGATCTGGTGACTGTGGAGGCCATTTTAGTACAGTGAACTCATTGTCATGTTCAAGAAACCAATTTGAAATGATTAGAGCTTTGTGACATGGTGGAAGTAGCCATCAGAGGATGGGTACATGGTGGCCATAAAGGGATGGACATGGTCAGAAACAATGCTCAGGTAGGCCGTGGCATTTAAACGATGCCCAATTGGCACTAAGGGGCCTAAAGTGTGCCAGGAAAACATCCCCCACACCATTACACCACCACCACCAGCCTGCACAGTGGTAACAAGGCATGATGGTTCCATGTTCTCATTCTGTTTACGCCAAATTCTGACTCTAACATCTGAATGTCTCAACAGAAATCGAGACTCATCAGACCAGGCAACATTTTTCCAGTCTTCAACTGTTCAATTTTGGTGAGCTCTTGCAAATTGTAGCCTCTTTTTCCTATTTGTAGTGGAGATGAGTGGTACCCGGTGGAGTCTTCTGCTGTTGTAGCCCATCCGCCTCAAGGTTGTGCGTGTTGTGGCTTCACAAATGCTTTGCTGCATACCTCGGTTGTAACGAGTGGTTATTTCAGTCACTGTTGCCCTTCTATCAGCTCGAACCAGTCTGGCCATTCTCCTCTGACCTCTGGCATCAACAAGGCATTTCCGCCCACAGAACTGCCGCTCACTGGATCTTTTTTCTTTTTCGGACCATTCTCTGTAAACCCTAGAGATGGTTGTGCGTGAAAATCCCAGTAGATTAGCAGTTTCTGAAATACTCAGACCAGCCCTTCTGGCACCAACAATCATGCCACGTTCAAAGTCACTCAAATCAACTTTCTTCCCCATACTGATGCTCGGTTTGAACTGCAGGAGATTGTCTTGACCATGTCTACATGCCTAAATACACTGAGTTGCCGCCATGTGATTGGCTGCTTAGAAATTAAGTGTTAACGAGCAGTTGGACAGGTGTACCTAATAAAGTGGCCGGTGAGTGTATATATATATATATATAAATCATATCAGAACATCCCCACCTTTAAAATTTCTGTTCCCTTTCGAAATCAAACTCGCACTGCGTCGATGACGCTATGGAGAACGCCTCCGCGTGAACCGGTGTCTGAAAGCTTATACAATCACGGCAATCGTTATTGACCAGCGAAAGCCTATGACGTCACTACTAGTGCGACCCGGAAGTATAAAAGTGGGGGCTAGAGAACATGTCATCCTCTTTTCGTCTTCAGGCACTGTCTTGTTTGATTTGGGCTAATGGTAAAGAAAATTGACAAACATTTTAAGAAATGTGTGGATCCGTGTCTCAGGTTTCTGACACCCGAGACACACACAACTTGTGCATTTACTGTTTGGACAAAGAGCATGCATGATCAGCTCTTGAGAGACCTGGTTGTGCAAGCTGTGAGCGATTTCCACTAAGAAAACTCTGCTCTTGTCTGGCCTTGAGCTCTGCCCTTCAGAATCTCCCCAGAGTTCCCTCACACCCTCCATGAATGTAGAGTTGTTGAGTGTTATTGAACGCACTTCAGCGAGGCTTCAGCTGCCGTGGGAGCGGTTGGGGAAAGGAGCAGTTAACAGCAGGCTTGACGAACTGTTCCTTTCTGACCATAATTCCCCAGCTCCTGTGAGTCTTCCGTTCCTGTGGTTCGCTCTGTATGAATACTAAGCTCCCAAAAACTGGTTGGAAGGTCAAAGGACTGTCTCAAGGCCTCTGTTAGATCAGCCCTATAGCTGCAGGCCTAGATCAGCCCTATATGCTGAGTTCTACTCTCCAGGATGCCCGTCTCTATGATCCGGTCTGCGAGTGACTACTGCCACTATTGCAGTTCTCCCTATAATGTGCCTCCACTAATGAGGCAGATAATGTGAGAGACTCTGTTTAGGAAACAGACAGGTTGTTGGCAAGTCAGTAAATGAGACCAGGTCAGCCTCTCTGGTGGCATGTGGGGTTGACTTTGACCCCCCCAGAAAGTGACTGGACGGGACTCCTTTAGGACCCCCTGGCCATATTCCCTTAAAGGAACCCCTTCCATGGAACCTGTTGGTTCCAAGTTTTTTATCGTCCTTGGTTGGCCTTCATTGTTTCGGAGGCCTCTTTGAGGCTTATAGCTTGGGCAGTGGCCGTAGGGAATAATGTGACTGACAGCCTGTATGTGACACGAAGGTGGAGTGGTTTGGCATTTCAGGTTGAAACTGCCATTTCTGATGTTTATGTCTCAGCCATAATTAGCATGCACTCCCCTCAGCATGGTGGGTTGGTATATCATTCCCCACAGCGTCATCAACGTAGTGTGAGTTCTCTTTCGCAAGGTGGTGTGAAAAACAATCCTTTCCCCCTCTCTGAAAAAGCATGGTATTAACCCAGTATGGCCTACGTAGAATCACTTCTGCCGGTCGACAGAGCAAGATACCAGGGCTCCAGACTAACTTTTTTCACCTCCGTCCTGGAACCGTCCTGAAAACCAATTTGAACCGTCCTAAAGTGAATGTCAACCGTCCCAAAATAAAACTGTTGTTTCTGTACTTTGTTATTATGATCTATAGTTCATGCAGAATATTTTTTTTTTTTTTTTTTTTACATATAGGCTACGAAAATTAAGAGAAAAATACACAGCTCAAAACGTTTTTGAGTTGGTTGGATTAAACAATAACAAATACATACTGGTGACTAAATATCTCAAAGTGGTAATGTGTCATAGCTGATCATCTGGAAACGTGTTAAGAGAAAGAGCTTTAAAAAGTGTAATATGACTTCCCTAGAACACAGAATTTGGGGGAAATTCTGTCTCCATCTCAGTCTTTGTACTGAGATCTTCGTGCTGGAAAAAACATCTATTAACCTGTTAATATGAATGATTTTAAAGTTTGAACATGCAATACAGATACAGATTTAACTGCTTAAAATATCTTAAAATTAAATAAAACCACTTTTCCTAAAATAGAACAGTCTTCTTTTCAATTAATGATATATGCATTCTTTATAACTACTTGCATACATAATTCTTTATTCTTTCAAGCAGCAGACATAGTTATTTGTATGAACTAATTATATTAAATATAACATTAAAGCTATTAACGAGCAGTGAATGCTTTTCTCTTTTTCTTTTGTTGCTTGATCAATATTAAGGACACGGACCGCATTAGGTTTATTACGCACGGTCACTTTAAGACGTCGGATCATGTCTAATGACATGCGGATACAATTGCACTGATGCACATCCGATTCTCTCACAACTGTTTAAGACATAACCAACATAGTTTACATGAATACTCTCCAAAACGGACATTTAGACATAATGTTGTGCATGTGTATTTGTCCACTCAGACACGAAAGAGAGCTCAATCAGTCCACGCGCGCTGTATGGGCGTCTATGTGCATGGCTGCACGCTTCGGTCGTGTGTGTGCGCACAGAAAACCGAATAGAGCTATTTTTTGCGTCGTCACTCTTATTCATATATATATATATATATCTCTGCTCTACTCATTCTCCCAGACGTTTACATATTTTAACGTTACTTCCCGCTGGGTAGATCAGCACGTTACAAATGTGCGCATCTACACGCAGAACATCAGTTATGACTGGATCGCTTCCCAAATCGTCACTATCTAACATTTTTGTCTAGTTTTTATTCGTTGAATATCTGTTGTTTAACCAGCGCAACATATTTACGATGTCATTAAGCCATTTGATAGATGTACCGCGGAACAAGTCTCCGGGTGAGTAGCCGGCCAGTGATAGTAACGTTAGGCTATATAGCATGAGAAGACGCGCTCCGTTGTAGTCAGCACTTGGTCGGTTAATTTTGACATTTTCTAAGTAAGTTAGCCCATAGGCTAGAAATAAATGAACACACAGACAAAAATATCTTTCGTCCTGTAGGCGTCCTGGAGAATATTTCTGTTCGTCCTAAACACATTTTCTATCGTCCCCAGGACGATAGGACGCCGTTAGTCTCGAGCCCTGCAAGATACATAGAAAAACTGAGCCGTATTGTCTGGACATTATCTGACTGGACACACGAACCAACGGAATTGCCTGATATTTCATTTTCTCGTCCAAATGCATGCTGCTTCCCCAAATATTACACAACAATAGCTACTTCACTTCATACATCACCTAGTAGATAAAGAAGTTTATTCAGTGTTCCTGAATTTAATGGTTATAGTGTATGTATTATATTG